CAAAACAACCGGCACCTTTGGGATAGCCATCTTGGCCTCCTGAGCGTGGTCTGTGTAGTTCAGGCCGATGCAAACAACGGAGCGGGCATCATCGATGTCAATGGGACACAAGAGCTTCTGAATGCCGTGCTTGTTGTCGCTAATTTGAGTCATAGGTGAGAACGGGCTTCCCTCCTGAAAAGGTTTGGCGAATTGGAGTGCCTCATCTGCAGCGCCGTAGTAAGTCTTGCCATCATCTTTCGAGACAAAACGAACAAGGCGTTGGATCGACATTTTAGCTAAAGAATTTGTACGTAATTGATGTCGAAAGGTTGAAGAAGCCATGGGCACATTGGATCCCTTGAGATAATTGCCGAGTATACAACGCTGGAATAAATACTCGATCGAACCATTTAACAGTACTTGTCAGACGTCATCGGAACCAGGACAAGGTCTAGTGGAGATGACCGAGTCAAGCCCGTGCGTAGAGATTCAGTGGCGTCGGTTCAGAGGCCGAAATGCCCCGAAAGTCCAGCCTAGGCCGAAACTGGCGTAGATGAGCGCCTGAGCTGGCGTTGCATGACCGAGGCGGAACGCGTAGGTTGTGATTCTACTGTAAATCAAGTACATAACGAAGCTCAACCGCAAACTAGTCGGGATGTCCGTCTACTTCTCACGTTACCAGGCTTGAACCTATTACCATGGCCGATCTCCAGATAATCAAGACAATGCTGGAGCGCGCACTTCATCAGCGTCCCTTCCTCCTCGCTACCACTTCTGGAGCTGCGGCTCTAGTAGTGTTCGCAGCATGGTGCATTAAAGACTATCGCGATTACCTCGCCCTCGGCCCTGGTGGTCCCCCTTACAATGTCAAAGGATGGGCGTGGATCACCTTTGGCATCCGTCCTTTTGCGCTTAGCAAGTCAGGTGCGACTTATGTTGCCGACTATCCCACAGAGGGAAGCCATCCTGAGATCAAGGGCCTACCTAGACGGCAAGGAGATCGGGCGCTGCTTGGTGGCATTGCTCCTCATCGTCAATTATCGCAGCATGCGCCCACGCGTATGAGAACCGTATGTCCTCGGCCTCTGCTGCTTTCGGCCGTTCTAACTTGACTAATCTTGTTTCTTAGTACATCGAGAACCTCTTCGCCAATGCCGCACGACAACACCCCTCGATCCTCGAGACCAGGAAGTCACTATATGAACGCCACCACAATGCGCTCTTCGTTTCACACAAGCTCCTGGAGTCACGGCCCGAGCGTCTACCTCAGACAGCGATTATAGCGAGAGGCGAACTGGGACATGCTCACCCTGATTTATCGGTCCACCTATACCTGTCACCGGCAGACGCTCGCGTGATCATTGAGAAGGGCTGGGCCGAGAGACATAGACTCTCTGTCCCAGAGACCTCATGGGTCAAGAACAAATACGCTATTGCTAGTACCTACCTGATGATGTATGGACCTCGGGATGAGAAGGAGATGGAGGTCTTGAGAGTCATTCTTGAGAACAGTATTCGCTTCATGACAGGCCAAGATGAAGTGGAGAAGGTGCAGTGGAAGAACGCTGTGTAGTAGTAATCTCCGAGTAGTTCTATCATTAATTGAAAGAGGAGAATGGTCTTTTGAAGTGCTGCTATTGTTGTGATTGCTTGTTGGTGGTGGCATCATCTGTAAACAATTAAAAGACATTTCTAGCACAGATATAAATATAGAGGTTCGGAAACATGTGCTATAATCTACTCTATGGTAAATCCTTCATCAACTCTGACAACAACATCATTAATTTCCTTCCATTCCCCGACTCCACGCGGTCCAGCCATACGAAACCTATAATTTCCCGCGTCAACACGCCAAAGGTGATCTTGGACATCCCAATACGAGAAGCCCTGAGCTGTTAAACAGAATTCCAGATCTTGCGAAGCTCCCGGCTCCAGAATCGCAGTCTTTGCAAATGTTCGTAGCTCTACCCTCGGTCTCGGTGTCGTTGGCTCCGAAGCTTCAATGAAGAGGAGAATGGTTTCACTCGCAGCCACGGCGCCAGTATTCTGAACTTCAAGAATTACTTTGACTGCTGCCTGAATGGGATCAAACGTCAAGTTGGTAGGGCTTTTGACAGAACAACTGAATACGCTGTATGACAAGCCATGGCCAAAGGCGAATCGCGGGCTGTACGTCTCGAGTGACGGTTGACGGTACCCGACGTAGATGCCCTCGCGATAATGGATCTCCTTTTCAGAAGTCATCAGACTCTCAACATTACCAGCTGGATAATCTTCCACTGTGTCCCAAAACGTAGTTGGAAGTCTCGCGCACGGCGATGCGTCTCCAGATATAATTCTAGCAAGCGCACTGCCGAACTCCATACCAGGAAACCACGCATAAATGACGGCGTCGACTTCATCAATCCAAGAACTCGTGTCAATGGGTGACCCGGCATTGACAACCACGATTGTCCGGCCGTGGCATGCCTTGGCGACACGAAGGATAAGCTCATCTTGTCGACGTGGGAGCTTCATGCTCACACGGTCGAATCCCTCGGATTCCCATTCTGTACCAGTACCGACAATAACTAGAGCAGTGTCAACAGTCTCTGCGAGCCTTTCTGCCCTAGCCAAAGCGATATCATCATCGCTAGCGAGTGCAAGACCAAGTCGACAACCCTGAATGAAGAACTCACGGTTCACATTCTGAGCCTTGTGCTTCGAAGACCAGCTGAGAACCTCAAACTTGTACCTTCGACCTGCTTCCAAATGTAGCGGTTCCTCTCGACGGACTTCTAGTTTTGAGCGATCAAAGAGGAAGTCCTCGGTAGAAATATTGAGATCTCGTTCAACGTCAAGGACAGCTCTGTCATCCAACAGGCACTTTGCGCTACCCGGGCCGCTCAAACTAAGGTTGTATGGCCCCGTCTTTTGTGCGACAAGCTCGAAGTTCATGCTTATGCAAAAGTCAGAGCGATCTAGCAGGCCATCTGGCGCATGCTCAACAAGCATGTACAAAGTGTCTTTCAACTCTTGAGAGTGGAAGAGCTGTTGTGGAGAGGGTTGATCTCCGTTGTACCAATGCAGCGTGATGTTGTCAATATGGAGGCCGGATTCGTTCGGAAGTGGCACAAGTCTGTTGACAGCGACGCCAGCTCCAAGTGTCGCATTTCTATAGGTCTTCTGGAGAGCTTCCCATGGAGTTGATGCATATGGCACCTTGAGACTTGCAGATCCTCCTCCAAATAGAGACGGTTCGATCGCATGATGTCCAAACACAGCGAGTCTGGTATCTCGATCAACAAGTGGAAGTGTATCTCCTTCATTCTTCAGAAGCACCATGCTTGACTCAGCAGCCTGTCGTATCAACGACCTGGAAACTACATCCTCGACATAGTCTGGTTCTTCGGCTTTCAGTGGCGGTGGGAAACCAGGTTCTCCAACACGGCCAGTCTTTCGAAGAAGATCGATGACCCTCGCTGCTGATTCTTTGATCTGTTTATTCTGTACTTCTCCCCTCTTTAGAGCTTCTAACACCTTTTTGTATTCGCGAAACTTGGTCGGGCCTGGCATCTCGAGGTCGAGACCAGCGTTGAAGGCATCAGTTGTACTGTAGGTTCCGAACCAGTCTGAAATGACCGCACCGTTGTATCGCCATTCGTCGCGGAGGATGGAGAGAAGGCTCTGAGATTCGGAGCAGAACGAGCCGTTGACAGAGTTATATCTGTAGTAGTCTCAGGTTAGCGATATCATCTCCTAGAACGGGCAGCCTGTGACTTACGCAGTCATGATGCACCATGGATCGGCCTGTTCAACAACAATTCTAAACGGTTCGAGATATATCTCCCTCAATGCTCGCTCTTCGATAACGCTGTTACTCCATCGTCGACCGTTCTCTGCCTCGTTGGCTAGGAAATGCTTTGGGCTAGTGGCAATGCCCTGGGCTTGAAGACCCTTGACGAAAGATGCAGCGATGAGGCCACTGAGCAAAGGATCTTCGCTATAAGACTCAAAGTTTCGACCACCTACAAAGTCAGCTAAAGCACGGGTAGCCACCTGATAGTACTTACACAAGGGGTAGCGATGGATGTTCATGGTTGGAGCCAGGAGTCCATGCACTCCTTTGCGCTTACACTCTCTCGCGAGAACACCAGCCAGCTTTGTCGCCAATTCGACATCAAAAGAGGCACCTAGAGCTGTCCCGCACGGAATTGCTGTAGATGGCGCTCCATTGATCCAGTCTTCGCCTCTGACGCCATTGGGCCCATCAGAGAACTTGAGTGATCCTAGGCCGAGGGCTTCATTGGTGCGAGTATGCCAGAAGTCATGGCCTGAGAGGAGGTTCACGGCATCCTCTAATGACAGCTCGGAGGAGAGGTCGCGATCAATTGAGCCCATCGTGCTTGATTGTGCAATTGCAAGTCAATGCTTGATAAAAGGGTATGAAGCTCGATGTTAAGGGGCTGTTGATCTCAAGGGTACAAACGTACGAGACATCTTGGAAGATGATATCTAAAAAGGAATAGAATAGTAGGAACATCTTGCCACGAAAGACGGGGTCCCCGGTTTGACTCCGGGGCAGGTCGGGGCTGCTCGCTGGTCCAGGTCCATTCTCTTCAATCCCTCAACATCCAGAATAGGGTAAGTCCGTCGCTTGGGCCTCATCGGGGCAATTCGGCTGTGGCGCCGACACACTGCTTCTCCGCCCTCAATACCTGATTGGCCGGGGCATTTCGGTGTGTGAGCCGACATCATGAACTCCTAATCTCCACTGCGAGCTAGTGCTTGTCTTGTGCTCAGCTCGCTAATAGAATCTTGCGGAGAAGATTCAGCAGTCAGCTACCCCAGATGGGGTAACAATGCACGATCCAGATTTTTGGAACGCGTCGGGATCTTGAGTCAACTGACGTCTCGGTACTTCACGATGAGTGCTAATTCTTCGGTTTGAAACGATCATAAAAAGGCAGCACCCCAGACTGAGTTGCAGATCATCAGCAGTTCTCCAAGTATCATCGTCAACCATCACCTTCGCCGTCATGACCGCTCCAGCTTCAACTTCGCTCTTCAAGAACCCTAGCCTTCTGAGGCTGTATCTCCTTCTCATTCCTGGCTCTCTGATTGTCAGTGCTGCAATGGGATATGACTCAAGTCTCATGAATGGCATCCAGGGAGTTGATCGATGGCAGAATTGTTAGCATCTCACTTCTATAGATGTTCGTTGTAGCTAACCATGGGCGTTTAGACTTCAACCACCCCCAAGGCTCTCTTCTTGGTATTATGAATGCTATTCTTCCTCTCGGCGCCGTATTCGGAACAATCCCCGCCGCTTGGATATCTGACCATCATGGAAGACGATGGGCCATGGCTGTCGGCGATGTCATTGTTGTTCTTTCGACCATCATTCAGACCGCGAGCATCAACAGTCAGTCTTCCTCGGCACCCTTCGGAAGTGAAGCTAACGCTATCTGCAGCGCCCATGTATATGGCTTCACGATTCTTGATCGGTCTCGGAATCACCATCGCGTCTAGTTCTGCTCCCATGCTCGCCGCCGAACTGGCCCATCCCGAATCGCGAACGACCTTGACATCGATGTATAACACGCTCTGGTACTTGGGAGTAAGCATAATGCCCCCAAGAGACTCGGAATAAGGTAGTTAACCTCTATAGTCTATCATCGCAGCATGGACGACATACGGCACTTATCGCATCAACTCAGAATGGTCTTGGAGACTCCCTACAGCTCTTCAAGCGCTCCCCGCCATCATCAACCTCATAGGACTCTGGTTTCTCCCCGAAAGTCCTCGATGGCTGGTAGGTCAAGACCGCCATGACGAGGCCCGTGATATTCTGATCAAGTACCATGCCAATGGTGACCAAGACTCTGCATTTGTTGCCGCTGAGTTTGAAGAGATTCGCACTGCGCTTCAACTTGAGCTGGCTGGATCGAGGTCCTGGAAGGAGTTGGTCCAGACCAAGGCTAATAGACATCGAACTTTCCTCGTTATTTGCTGTGCTTTCTTTCCCCAGTGGTCTGGCAATGGCTTGGTGGTAAGTCAGCCTGCTCCTTATTTTATAAGTAACTCACTAATCTATCTAGTCTTACTATATTGCTCCCGTCCTTCGATCGATTGGTATCAACTCACAGGAAGATATCACTCTTATCAACGGTATCCTTCAGATCTGGAACATGATCGTGGCCATGACTGGTGCCAACCTCGTAAATCGAGTCGGTCGTCGCCCTCTCTTCGTCGTCGCAACTTCATGCATGCTAGCTGGCATGGTCGCTTGGACCATCACCGGCAGTGTCTTTGCAAGGACCAAGTCAGAGGCCACCGGTACGGGAATTCTCACTTGCGTCATCTTCTTCGCTTCTTCGTACAACATCTGCTGGAACCCACTGGCTGTCGCATACCCCGTGGAGATCCTCCCCTTCAACATTCGCGCCAAGGGTATCGCACTTCTCATGGGATCCATCAAAGGAGCTAGTTTCTTCAACCAGTTCGTTAACCCCATTGGGCTGAAGAATCTTGGTTGGAAGTATTATATCGTGTACTGCGTTTGGCTTTGCATTGTTCTCATCATAGTCTTCTTTATGTTTCCGGAGACCAAGGTAAGTCTTTCGTCGTTTCTTTCAATCATTGAACTGGCTGACTAGGTTTATAGAACCGATCCCTCGAAGAGATCTCTGAAGTGTTCGAGAAGCACTCGGAGGGCGCACCCGAGAAGCAGGTTGAGGCGACCGATATTGAGTGTATTGAACATCGGAGGAACGAGAAGGACTAAGACGGCGCCTACGCTTTGATGGTTACAGAGGCGGCCAATCAATGCTTTATATTGAGGCTGACGGACTGGCGGCGCTCTACGCACCTCCTTCGTGACAGCGACAGCATGTCAAATAATTAGTCAATCGATATTCAGTAAACTATAATAACGATGGAATCTTATTGTACTAGGGCAATCTGAACTAGCAAGCTTATATGACCTCCTATCAGGCTTTGCAGCACTGGCACTTTTAGACCATTAGCTTCCTCACTGATCCATGAGCCTTGAGTTCCTTGAAACTTACCGAAACAGATCCAGAATCATTGTCAGGAACAACCATTGTAGAACATTGGCTAGCATGCTCTGTTGTACCACATACGTTAAGGCCAGTCATGCTGTTGCAGACTGCGATCGGAGACTGTTATTCACTATAAGTAAATGCGAATTCTCTTCGCACATGATGTCCACTTACACAAGGCGTGCTTCGCGGCACGCAGTCATCAGCAGCGACGAAAGGCATAAAGGCAGCTGCCAAGACGAAGAGGCTAGAGAAATGCATAGTGCCAATTGATCGATATCTGGATTTGAGTGATAAGGTGAAGTTTGATAGCAACTCAGACAAGAAGCAGCTTGAGCACCAAGCTAGGACTTAAGTACTTCAAGCTTGATTCGTTTCCAGAACATTACGAATAACTGTCACGGCCTTCCTTACCGTATGTTTACTGCCAAGACATCTGATCCAGTTTGCAAAGCTAAAAACAGATGATGCACTTGGTGGATAAACGAAGCATTGATACCAGTTAAACTCAAAACCGCAGATCGTAACCTCGCTGTTTGGTTTCGACCTTCAGCTTACGTAGCTTGATACCCGTTTTGATGAAAGGTGGGTATCGATCCCCATCTGAAGTGGATTACATGTATTAAAACAAAACAGACCCTTGAGAAGCTAATTTTTATGACTCGCGGCATCTGTGAGACTGAGAGTTTTCTCAGCGTGGGATGGGGTCATTAAGTTGAGTTCTTCTTCATCTGCCCGCGCTGATCTAAGCTTTGAGCTATAAGTCTCGATACAAAATGATACATGTGGTTCAAGTCAGACATCATACTACAATATCGTTACAGAGAAGGGTTGATGTAACGTACAATCTCCAAATTTCGAACTCAATTCTTCAACTCACACTACGCACGGTGATGACGTATTCTCTTCTATCAAGCTCGATACTTACAAGTCCAGACATACAGACCAAGAGAGATATGTCCTAAATTTATGTTTCGGTATCGGAACACGTTGGCCAAGATCCGATCCGAAATCCGGAGACCCTCTTTCTCAAGCCGATAGACTGACCTATCTATGCTAGTAGCTCAGTAACCAAATACTACTTAACAAGCGCAGTTTGCTCTCAAGGAGTCATTTTTTCTTATCAATCTTCCAGTACACAGCTAGTTTATCCCAAGTGTCAATATTTGTTTATATCTAGGATCCCATCGAAAAATGTCACCAGGTCGTCGAGACGTTGAGTTCCCCACTGTTGACGGACTAACCCTTAGGGGTTGGTTCTACACCGCCAGTGGAGATGGAAAGCGCCCATGCATTATCATGGCAAACGGAGTGAGTTCTCCCGACCGGTAGAGCTATCCTGGTTGTTTACTGATCTGTTTTCTAGCTGGCTGGTTTGAAGGAGCAGTTCTGCCCCAACTTTGCCCAGCGGTTCCAAGCCGCTGGCTATGGAGTCTTGCTCTTTGACCACCGTAACTGGGGTGCAAGCGACGGTGTTCCCCGGAACGAGACAAACCCCATTCAGACTGCCCGCGACTACTCGGATGCCTTTGACTTCGTTGCCTCGTTGGACGAGGTTGATGCCTCCAGGATTGTCTACTGGGGCACTAGCATGTGCGGCGGTTCCGTTCTACACGCTGCGGCATTCGACAAGCGTATCCGAGCCGTGATTTCGCAGGTTCCCTTTGTATCCGGCGAACTACTTAGTTCACACCTCGCACCATTGATTGGATCCCTGTACAGCAGCCGACAACAGCTCAAAGCAGGCAAGCCTGTCCCACTGATCAAGCTGTTTGCCGAGACTCCCGACGAGAGTCTTCAGCAAGACACCAAAGCTCTCATTCAGGATGAGAATCTCTGCGATTTCATCAAAGCTTTGGATAAGGATAAGCTACCTTGGTCCCCCAATGTCACCCCCCAAACACTTCTTAACATGATCGCATTTGAACCTCTGGCTTTTATGCATCGCATTGCTCCGACACCACTCCTCTTGGTCTCTGCCGAAAATGACATGTGTGCACCAACATTTACTCAGCTCAAGGCATATGCGCTGGCTTATGAGCCCAAGAAGCTGGCTATTTTGAAGGGTTCTGGGCACTTTGATCCTTATCATGGCGAGGTCTTTGAAGAAAACGTCAAGGCACAGCTGGCCTATCTGAAGGATATTCTGTAGGGGGCATCATGACTTGTAGACTTTTTCAGATCTCCACTTCGCAGAAATACAAACTGACTTGTTAACCGTTCGATGTTTCTTTAGCTACACAGTGAAGATGGAGGTGAAAGTGAGTCGATTGACTGCTTTTGTCTCACTAACCTAAGTATTGGTGAACACTGGCCGTTGGATGGACTTGAGGGCCAGCGAATCCTCGGCCAGCTTAGCATTGATGAGCCATGCGTTGATTTCAATAACACATAAGTTTAGGTCGATTGAGTAGAGTGATCAATTGATAGATCAAGAACTATCCAGTAATCTTTATGTAACAGTAACACAGTAGCATGCGTATCTTAGGAGGCATTATATGAGGAATTGTGGCACATCACTATGGTCGGTGTAAAGCTCAAGCCTGAGGCTGAGCGAGTTCTAGTAAATCTATTTCCGCATATACCATGCCAAGTCGCCATCATTCTCCTCTCTAAAAGTCAAGCCGTTGCCCATAAACTGGAACCGGTTCCCGCCAGTGTACGCAAACACGAAGTCCTCGGTTCTAAACTCGTCTAGTATTTCCTTGTAGTGGATCACACTGCCCGGGTACATAGCTGTTACCCTACCGTCGGCCTTTCCTTTCTTGAACCAGGACCGACAGTCACCAGTCCAAACAGTCTTCTTCATCAGCTCTTGAGTATAGACATTGAAGTCATCTAATGCATCCTGGCGAACCTGGACGGACCTGGATGGAGTGATAGCCAGTCAGCATGAGTTCTGCATAGACACGAGTTATAACCTACTTGATATTCTGTGTTGATATCTTCCGGACCCATCTTGCGATGTAGTCTACCGTGAACGACATAACAGCCAGTAAGCTTCCGTGCGCCAGAGGTGTGTTTGGACCATTGATAGTAAAGAAGTTGGGCATGTTTGCCGCAAATACCCCAAAGTACGCCTCTGGAGCATCCTTCCACTGCTCAGCGAGCGAGATACCGTTCTGACCCACGACTTTGAATCCCGGAACAAAACTGACATCAAACCCTGTTGCGCAAACAATGATATCAAACTCTTCCGTCTTTGTGAGGCTGCGAATTCCACCTTCAACAATCTCCTGAATGGGTTCATCCTGGAGGGTGACGTTATCTTGTTGCAGTGCCTGGAGATAGTTCTCACCGGGAGACAATCGCCGACAGCCAACTTGAAATGTCGGGATGAGCCTGGCGCACAGATCAGGATCATGGTTGAGTGCCTCTTCCATCTTTGACTTGAATAGCTGAAACGCGCCTTGCTGCTCTGGACTGTCCTTGATGGAAACCTTGAAGAACTTATTGAAGGAGTGCTCAATACTATGCCGGAGCTGGAAGAACATCTCCTCATCATCCTTGAATGCTTGGATCTCCTCATTAGTGTAGGTGAAGTTCTTGCCCTCGGGGGTAAACTCGGATGCGAATGCGCTACTGATCCAAAGCGGGCTTCGGGCATAGTTGACGATCCTGGCTGCGGTAGCTTGCATTTGTGGAAGGACTTGCACAGCGGAAGAACCGTTGCCGATGATGGCCACTGTCTTGCCGGACCAGTCGAGGCTTGTATCCCATGCAGCTGTATGAACCAGCTTCCCCTTGAACCTTTCCAGCCCAGGTATCCTGGGCCAGGTCCATTTGCTGAGGAAGCCCGTGGCGTTGATGACTAGGTCTGCTTCCTCGTGTGTGATCTCACGGCTTTGACCATGCTGGATCTCCAAGTGCCACTTACCAGCGCCGTCGTCCCAGACAGAGGATATGACTTCAGAGTTGAGTACAACGGGCTCTTGAAGCTTATACTTATCAGACGTGTTCTTGATGTAGCTCCATATCTCTGGGCCTGTAGCATAAAACTGACTCCAAGAAGGATTCGGCTCAAAGGGGAAAGTGTAGATGTGCGCGGGAACATCGCATGCAACCCCGGGATATTTATTGACCAGCCAAGTTCCTCCGACGTCATCATTTTTGTCGTAGATTTTCAGGTCAATGAACTGGTCCAAGGGCGAGTCTCCATGCTTGTACTGATACGAGAGCATCAGCCCTGCATACCCGGCACCTATGCAAACAACCTTGAGTTTTCGGGGCTGGAAAGAAGGGCCTTCCCGCTCAGGCACCCAATTGCCGGGTTTTTCCATACTAACGTGAGTGAGAAAAGTGATTGATAGGTGTAACTTGGATTACTTCTCGCGATGTGAAGTCTGAATGGTATAGACCTGGATAATGGCGATGGATGTTGTCAAATTGGTACGCCCCTGGTGAAGAAGCCGAAAAGGATTCAGTATTTAATGATCGTACACTTCTGCTGGGTGAGAAATTTACTCCTTTGCATTTAAAGTTGTATCGGATTCTTGGAATTAGTGTTCTTCGGATTCATTGGCAATTCGGCTCGAAGCCCTGGGCCGGAAGCCCGGAAGCCGGTCGGATCGGAATCGCCCCGCCTCCACCGGGTCTCAACAGAGGGTCACTGATCCTCTATATTAATACAATGAATTTGATCGTCTCTTAGGCATGGACAAAGTCACAACAGCGTTGGGATAGTTTTGAAACCACCATATCGCAAAGCCTTGTCAGCTAAAAACAAGGTATCTCCTTTCCGCACAAACCTTTCTGAGAAGTCTATAAGTCATCATGGTGACAAAAGCGACTTTGGAGTTCTTCGGTATGCTTCTTGAAATCTCCGCCAACCATCTCAGTCTACTTTGAGCATACTTGGCGCCCAATGGATGGAGTCAGGACTGATTGAAACGAAATAGGAACAACTACATTCCGGCTGAAATGGAAGGGCTTGACCATATTCCACGATACTTGGCTCGACAAACCGGAGGGTCTAAAAAGATACCTCGAGCTTAAGGACGTAACAGAACTAGATTACATAGTCATCTCGCACGCCCACTTCGATCAGTAGGTCTGAGCAAACATTTCAGTTACATCAGGTTCTAATACTCATGAAGCCTCCCTGGCGCGGACCAACTTGCCCTGAGAACAGGGGCAACAATAATTGCCAACGGCGAGGCTATCAGATGCCTCCGAGATGCGGGGGTCCCCGACGCACAGTTGATCCCTGTCAGCGGTGGTGAAAGAGTGCCCTTATTCAGCAAGGAGACCCTCAGAAAGGCTGCGGAGGGTCTAATTGATCGAGCTCCAGCACCACCGACAGCGCCTCCTATGCCGCACGTCCAGTATGCCACAGCCGCAGTCCACGTCTGGCCGTCACTGCACTCTTTAATTCCTGCAATCACTCCCCACGACCTCCCTGAAGAATTTGACACCGCAGAGAGGTTTACAGGAGAGGTCACCCCGTATGACTGCACCTTGGACATTACCAGACTGATGCAATTTGGTCTTTTTAGAATGAAGGAGTTTATGCCCGAGGAGAGCATGGACCCAGGGACGCGTGCTTTTGCTGATTATGTACAAGATCGTCGAAAGCATGTCATGTCGCACTTTGATGGCGGCCAGCTGATGTATAATTTTGTCGCTGACGGGAAAAGCATCTTGTTCAACAGTCACTTAGGCGTGTATCAAGGCATCGCCCAGTGTGTGACCCCCAAGCCTATAGTTGCTATCATGGGAGCTGGCGGTCGAGCGAATCTTGATGGGAGACCGTTCCAAGGCTCAGCAGCCGAATTCCTTGTCAAGCAGGCAAAGTGGCTCGGTGAACCTGCCAGCATTTATTTCTGCCTGCATGATCCGAGGTAAGATTCTACTTTTCGACCTTGTTACACTGCTGATATTTTCAAGCATCATCAAGCCTCTCAGAGTGGATGTGAATGCCGCAAAGCAGATGCTCCAACAGGAGACAGCAGCTACAGTCATTGACACGCAGCTTGGAAAAGTGTACACGCTGGATGTCTAGTGTGGAGATGTAATCAAGAACTACTGTGTGAATTAACTAGTGTTAAGAAATAACATCATCCTATAATATTAGAATATTCTTCTCGTCGCGGCTACTGAAACCAGCTCAAGCTAGAAAAGACCATACTACCTACATCTGAGGTATCTTCGATATGAGACATGTCGAGTAACGACGAATCTTGAAACAAGTCCAACGATAGATCGTGGGGATCTCCACCGACACTACCAAGGTCAACTGCTAGGGCAGAATCTTCCGTCAAAGAGACCGTAGACAGAGAAGCTGATGGGGTTTGCACCTCCTGGGCCGTAGCGATTTCATCAGCCCATTCACTGTCCATCCTCCGACGTTTGTGTTTTGGTGGAGGTGGCTTTTCTTGGAGACGTCCGAAAAGCTCGCCCACTAAATGGCTCTGTTTCTCAACGATACGGTTATTCCGCTGTTCCACATACTCTTCACATGCAGATTGGAGCTGCTGCACTACCTGAAAGTAGTACCTCGCGATATTATCATGCTTTTCAAGCCTCTGGAGCAACTGGCCTGCAGTGGCTAAATTCGATAACAGGGGAAAAACATGGTCCAAATCTGCAAAGGTAGCAACACCTAAGGTCAGAGCAGCAGTGAAAGCAGAGTGGACCGGGAAAGGTAACCGCTTGGGTAAGTCGTCTCTTGCGAGAAAGCTCTGAAGCAAACGAACGACACGTACAGCAGAGTCGGCTGAAGCATACACAAGAGCCGTGTCGGGATGTGATGGTGTTGCCGTCCCTTGTACGTCTCGATAGCTGCTGTCACTGGTACCTCCACGCATTGCTCTTGACGCCGCTCGATCAAGGAGAAGAGGCCGGGTCAGCAGCATAATCGACCAGTAGTATGACTGTCTCATATTGGAGGATGCCAGTGTTGATACTGACTCGTAGCCTTGTGCTGGTTCCGCGCACTCTAGCCCATCAGTCTTCAGGCCTGAAGTCATGCGAGATGCCCATGAGCGATGCTCCTGCGTCATACTTGCGATGAAGTGTCTTGAAACCTTGGAGCGCCCGTAGACCTCCCTCAGGACAGCTTCGAGAATAGCGGCCATGTCGATGGCGGAAGAATAGCCCTTCTCGGCCTTGGTGTTGCGAGTCTCGTAGGTGCAGATTGGTCGACCCAAGGAACCGCTGGCGAAAGTATCAAACAGTCGCAGCGCTTTCCAAAGACGTTCACGGAAAGCAGAATCAGCGTGACTCATGTGTTGCGACTGGTTCACTTTATGGATGCCCATAGCGCACGCAAGTCGGCACGCAACCCCGATGGAGTGATAGGCGGCGTCTCTTCGCCCTGAGTTTATCTGGTAGAAAGCGATCAAGTTGTGGCACAGGATCGCCGAGAGATTTGGACCTTGGCCCGATTTCGAATTCGTCAGATATTTCGCATATGTGTAATACGCTTCCGCAGTGGCATCTTCGTCTTCCGGGCAGGTTAGCGCGCCATTCGCGAGGATCAAGTAGCAGATTGCGGAGGAGAGGGTTGCAGCGTCTTCGTCTTGCTGCAGCCAGGCGTCTACTTGCGACTTAACCTCTGATTCGTCCAAAGCACCCAGCAAGTGACTTGTTGCCTGTATACCCCAACGAACCAGTTGCTTCGCATGGAGAGAGCTGGGCTTTGGTGGGGGATCGGACACGGAAACCGGACACGAGGGATCATGGTTGGTATGATATTGTATCGGCTGCTCGACAAAGGCACACGGCCCCAGTATTCGAGAAACGAGCTGACGGATCTGCTGAAGGAAGCATTCATTGGCGGCATCTCCGAAATGCACGGATCCTTGGTGGTCGTTCTCCGCTACCCGATAGGTATCGGGGAATGGGGCGCCAATGTTTAGAAATGAGTCCTCAAACTGGCTCGCCGTCTGCTCAAGTGGTAGGTCGATGGAGTAGTTCAGCAGCATGTCTGCCAGTGGTTCTGGAGGGTCTCTTGGGTCTGTCCTGACACTTTGGCGTGGGGAGGTGGATGGGCGACGTTTTGGGGCTGAATAGCGACACTCTGAGGCGATCTGTCGGATGGCGCATCGCCGGCAAGGCAAATTGCCATCGCATCGCTCTTTTCGGCGTTTGCAGCTCTCGCATGCTGCGGCACAGCGACGGCGCATGTTATCACTCAGCCTCTTGGTAGGCATACTGTATGAATTCTTCTTATATGGGCTTGTGAATGTGACGCAGGAGGTGTTGAAAATGCGAGAACCGACACTTGTCTAGACTACAGCGTACGTACGCACGTACTTCGGAGGGTTATATAAATTCACTGCCGACAAAGATCCCCCCCGTGTTAAAATGCGGGGATAGTGGGCTGTAGACTAGCTAACTGACCAGTCACTAGCGAGTTGTATGTCAGGCATTGGGCCACAACTAGCTAACCAACTCCTTGTTAAACTACAGATATAATTACCTATCAAGATATTTACACTGCGCGACGCACACGATACGAATTTAAACTTGGAAACTCTATCAAGATAGATGACAGGTATATGCGAGTGAAAGTTCAGTATGGTTACAGCATCTAGAGTTGCTACGGTGTCCCCCCCCCTGCACTGCAACCATGTCATACCCCAGATAAATACGGGGTACCCCGCAATTCATCCCCCCATCACCACGGCATTGCCGGCCTTTGTCAAAGTCCGGCCCCCGTCTCGGTATCGCGAAAGTCCGGACCACAAATCAGCTCCCCTCAATATCTCAGCTCCATATCCGACTCTGTGACTACATCTACTGCTCAGCTCTTTTCAAAGCCTTGTACAAGATAGTTGCTACAGGTAACAGCAAGCCCGCCAAGAAGGATATAATACTGCCCAGAAATCCATCGAGGTCGACGGTCTTTGACACAATCAGAACAAGCACGATCTTCAACAACGGGAAAAGACAGGCGCCGACTTACCGGTTGGGTCGTGCCTCCGCTCTTGGCGACCCAAGCAAAAGAACGGTCAATCATCTTCTTCTCGTATGCGTTGCACCTAAACTCGATCTCCTTAGTGCTCAATGGCGGGCTAGCCTCGGCCGCCCTGTTCAATGCAAGCAACTCGGGCAATATGTCGGCAACATCTCTCATCGCTTGGTTTCCGCCCATTCCCCTAGCGCCTTGTTAGTGGATTCTTGCATGTAAATCGTGAACCCGACTTGCCGGTTTGGCTGCATGGCATGTACAGCGTCGCCCACGAGCCATACCCGTGGATGGCCCTCTTCTGGGTTATTGCCATTCTGTGCCTGAAGTCGCTGCCGCCAGTTTTTGGGGAGTTTAGTGCTAGCCCGGAGCATTGTCACTGTGATGTTATCTTCATCACCGGCTCCAGCAGAGAGCATGACGTGGCTATTGAAGATGAGTCAGTAATCGGTGGGTAAGCAATGGGGGCCCGAATCTTACTATTCTGGAGCCCAATCGCGTACTATGTCGAGACAGAACTGTCGCCTGTCTGGGATATCATACGTGTCTTCAAAGGGACACAGCTCGCGGGGAACAGACAAACCCCAGTAGAATGATGCTTGGTTCTCGTCAAAGTCAAAATCGCCATCTTGCTGTTGATTCACGCGCTTCTGTTGAGAAGCCGGCAAGTAAACTGCATAATGTCAGTTGCTAAAATGGTAGGGTATAAGGGTCAGTGGCATCTAACGCGCATAGTAGAGAGAAATGCCGTTCTTGAACACCAGAATTGGCCCATTCAAAAGACGAGGGGGCAGCTGGCGCAGTCGTGCCTTGGTCGCATTTCCTTTTGACAGAAAGGACAGATGGCTTTTCAGGTCCACGATATTCTTTGCTCCGATTTGTTTGTTTATCTAAAAAGAAAAGAAGAAAAGGACTTGAGCATCTACATATTGATGAAAGGGGTGATTAAGCAAGGCTCACTAACCTTTGATCCGCTACCATCTGCAGCGACCAGAATGTCACAATACTCTGATGAGCCATCTTTGAAGTTCACTTTGACACTTTCACTCCCACCAGTTCCATTTTCGACAATCTCGTAATGTGAGAACTGCTTGCCGAACTTGACCTTCCCCTTGGCAACGACGGGTTCGAGAAGCAAGTCACGCAGAACAACGCGATTGATGGCCGATGACTTGGAGTAAGTCGGCAGTGCCGACAGGTCCAGAATGGTCTGGAACTTGGTGTTGCAGATACTTGGTGCTGTCTTGGAAGAGCCGGAGTATCTCCCGAGCCTTTGCACAATAGATTCCAACTGTGACTCAGTCAGGCATGAGGCCAGGCCAGTTAACGCAGGGTCACCGAGACGGATCTGGTATCCTTCTCTCTTTAGACTTTCTTCGTCTCTTTCAAAGACTATTGTGTCAACTCCATTGTTGATGAGCCCGTTAGCTAGCAGTGAGCCTGCTAGACCGCCGCCGACTATGCAGACTCTGAAATTACCCATGATGATTGTGTGCGAGAGTAGAACAGATGATGGTTTTGTTGATTTATGGTAGATCGAGGGACTTGAGAATGTAGGGTGAGGGTCCCAGTAAATATTGAGAGTGCTCAGACCCCACCTGATGACAATGGACTTAGTAACTGACTGTCGTATATCCCGGATAGAAATGCGAAAAGGCGAAAGCTGTCCCGGCCCGGGGAGCTGGGATCCGATTGTTAGGTCTATTGCACCCCCGGTAATAGGCTGAGCCAAAAGCTGTTTCGATTACAAAGGTATCTGGTTGTGGACTCTCTCATTCAATTGGGCTCTGTATTTACTTGTCTTAATATGTTAATTGATTGGGTTCAAGCTGATGACATACGTTCGAAAAAGGTGTGCATGGGACATACTGTGTACTATATATATCATCAGTACTTTAATTCTTTAGATTATAATACGTAATCTGAATACTACACGGCCTGTAAGGGTAAGAAGAGTTGTTCTCAAGCAGCAAATGATCTAAGTATTAATTGGCTACTAGTTCAATTATTTGGCATGTCGACGAGTGATACGTAATTCAAGCATAGGCTATCAGCCCATCAGATCAGTCAAAGCAGGCATAGGGGCAGCCGCCTGATGAAAGACAGTTGTGTACATAAACCCATCTCGATACTGGCACCACTGATATTCCTCGTTATGAAACTTGGGGAGTTGGTACATCCACATCTCACCCGAGACGCCAAGAATAGAGACATAAGCGGGGTGAATGCTGGTCATTTGTGCAAGCTGAATCCATCGGGCCGGGGGACACCCGGTAGTACATCCGTTTGTTGCCATACCGAAAGGCTTCCGATCCACTGTGACGTTGTTCAATATGGCATGGAGGTTTCTCTGGTATGATCAATACAAGAGCGGTCCTAGATATGCAGGCATCTCACTTGATACATCTCAGCAAGTTAAAAGGCTGCTGTTTCCCTTCCAGACAACCCAGAATTCGATTGTTCAATAATAGCACCTCACCTAATTACTGTCGTCCATTCCATACCACCATTTTTCAACCGCAGGTCTATCAACGTCAAAAGATGGATCAGCCACTGGCCGGCATCCTTGCCCATGCACAAGAGCTTCTTGGCCATCAAGATAAAAACACCTTTATGATTGGCTTTGCAGTAGTGTCTGCTGTTGTATATTTCTTGTACGCAGCTATTGACAGACTCTACAAAGTTCACTTTCACCCGCTGGCCAAATTCCCCGGCCCCAAGGAAGCCTCCCTATCACAGAATTGGCTGCTTCGTGTTTCTGAGCAAGGAAATCCTGAACATGTATTCAAAGATTTACATGAGAAATACAGTGAGTCTTACTCTTTACTACCTTTCTTGCCTCCTCTCACTTACCGGTAACAAAACAGATTCGAGAGCGATCCGAATCGGCCCTAACGAACTACACATCGACGATGTCAAACTGTACAAGGATATATACAACCAAAGTTCAACTTACATCAAACACGACGCATTCTATGCCGGCTTCAATACTCCGCACAGTGTCTTTGCCGAACATATTCCCAGTCTTCACAAGGAGCGACGACGTCGTCTGAACCCATTCTTTTCCCGCCGTGCTATTGGGCAGCTAGAAGGCTTACTCAAGGAGAAGATTGAAGAGCTCGGAAGACGCATTGATAGTCAAGAAGGCCCTTACAACATCTTCAACGCCGTACGATGCACCACTGTCGATATTATTTCTCACTACAGTCTTGGAAAGCCGCTTGGACAGCTTGAGAAGAGCGATCAGGGGTTCAATGGGGACTTCCTCAGGACGTTCGACGCCCTTTCCAAGGTTCTTTGGAAGTTCATGTACAAGCCGACTTTTCGAAAGATCATGACCAGTTTCCCCCCGACAATCGCTAAGGCTGCGAGCAAGGAGATTCGCCTCATGTTCACGATCTATGATGCGTGCTATGCGGCTGCGAGCAACTTTAAAAGAAATCCACCACAGTCTTCTTATGGCACTATCTTTTCTAGCCTCTCGGATCTTGGTGAACAAGAGATGGGAGCTGAAGCATGCGACCTCCTTGTAGCAGGATCTGATACCACAGCATATTCTCTAGCAGTAGCTATCAGTCAGATCGCTAAGAACAGCCGGGTCAGTAGGAGGCTTGTAGAAGCCTTGGATGCTCGTGCTATTAATGCAGAGAGCTTGCCGCCCTTGGTGGACTTGGAACAGATTGAGTATCTCAATGCTTCAGTCCGTGAAGCAGTACGGTTTGCCATTGCCGCACCGGGGAGACTTCCGCGGGTTGTCCCCAGCAACGGGCCGCCTCTAGTCGTGGATGGCCAGGTCGTTCCTCCGGGTAGTGTCATTGGCATGTCAGCTTACACCATGAACTTCAGCAAGGAGCTCTGGGGCGAGGACGCCGATACGTTTAATCCTGATCGTTGGCTTGGTGCTGGAGGGAAGGCTCTTGATGCCAATATGTGTTCGTTCTCCAAAGGCATACGGAGTTGTCTCGGACAGAACTTGGCATATGCAGAGATGCACTACATTCTCGCATATTTGTTTAAGAAGTACGAGGTTAGGTTGGTGGATAAGGAGGCCAAGGTGGAAGCCCTTGATCGGTTTACGAGTTATGTCAGTAGTCACGCTGTTATGGTAGACTTGGGGCTACGTGGAGCTTGATAACGGACAGGAAATCGAGATATACTTTAATGCATCAGAATATTGTCAATACCAGAGTTCCATGCTTGACTGACTACTACACTCTGTATGTTCATTGCCTACTGGCAACGAGGTTTAATGCTTGCCCTTCTCTTCTTTATCTCACAATTCATCATCCTTACATCTTAGGTTATATCTTTTAGCATTGCCGTACATACACAAACTGGTGTAGTTGTCGGGTCATTCTTGGCTGGCTTTTCACAGTAACGCCGGAATATGACAGCAGGGCATGCAGAAGACAGACCGTCTCTCAGTCAGTAGACTGCTACGAGTTCGGCCGAACCCGTGCTTGTATTGTCGACGGAGAGACTAATGGCCCGTCGGGTGGATATAATATCACCAGGATGATAAGGGGCTCGCAATTGTCGAAGTTCCGAGTTCGGAGCTAAGGTATTTGCTAATAGAATTAAGTAAAGCGTAGTGGTCCTTTCACGGACTTCTGCTCCGTGCTAAAGTCCAGTTTGCTGGTTTCGTCCGTCCGCCATCCGGATCCCGGATCCGGCTGCCATCCGGGTTATGTAAGAAAGTCAATTGAGGCATATATCAGGAATGTCTAGAAGTAGAGCTTATGAGTTTATGCTGTAGGTTAAGATAAATAACTATTAAAAAAGCTATTCATCACTCTCCTATTTACATGATTTCATTGCCAGAACATTATGTCGATCGGTGCAAATCATGACATCCCTCAGACTCAGCAAGCAGCTGTTCGAGATGGCTCAGGCCCTGGTGCAAAAGTCTTCGTGAAGACTATCCCTGTCCCTCGGCCAGCCTCCCATCAAATCCTCGTCAAGATCAACTGGAGCGGTCTTTGCGCATCGGATAAATGCTTGCTTCGCGACGAATGGGCTTCTTACGATGGGATGATGCCTCCCATGGCTCCCTCGTCACTCGGCATCGCGGGTCATGAAGGAGCGGGAGTAGTTGTGGCTGTCGGCGATGATGTTTCTGCCATTTGGAAAGTTGGCGATCGGGCTGCGGTGAAGTGGGTTGGTTCAACCTGCGGCGTCTGCGAGATGTGCACCAACGGCTTGGATGAGGTTCATTGCCCAAAAGCCGTCCACCATGCCGTCGATGTAGCGGGCACCTTTCAGGAGTACTGTGTCGCTGATGGGCGTTACACTAACAAGATACCAGACGGGGTCAAGGATGAAGAGGCTGGTCCAATCATGTGCGGAGGCTTCTCGGCGTACGCGGCTTGTAAACGTGCTGCTGTCAAGCCTGGAGAGTGGCTTATCATCCTCGGCGCGGGTGGAGGTGTAGGACATTTTGCGCTGCAGTATGCAAAAGCCATGGGAATCAAGGTAATCGCTGTTGACAAGGGGAGGGAAAAAGAAGAAACATGTCGCAGATTAGGAGCCGACGCCTTTATTGATTCTTGCAGTGATGTCGTGGCCGAGGTAACGAGAATCACTACCTATGGGGCCCACGGGGTTCTGCTGGCCACCCCCTCGAAGGAGGCATATGATATCGCGCCACATACTCTAAGGGTCCGAGGAACACTGGTAGTAAGTACTCTCACTCATTTACAAGTGCATTTAGTCACATGTTCTACAGGCACTTGGCATTCCAAACCATCCCGCTGTTATGGCTGGAACGATGGCTGCGCTGGTCATCGGGAAGAGGTTAAACATTGTTGGGAGTCTTGTTGGCACCAAAAGGGAAGCCGATGAAGCACTTGACTTTGTAGCGAGGGGATTGATCCATCCGATTTTAACTAAGGGGACTCTGCATGACATTGATAAATTCTGTGATATGCTTCAGGAGGGCAGTCTCCTGGGACGAGCTGTGATTAAGGTTTCTTCTTAGCCTTGAGGCAAAGAAAGCTACCTTAGCAAGGATATTCCGTCATGGTTATAGAATCGCACATAGTCAAAATTCGTCAATTTTTCCCTGGCTGCTCTGTATCCAACGGTACCATCAATAGGGTTATATAAGTCATCAGATTTGCCCAATAATTGCACCTCAGCGTACGGTCGATTACAGCCACTGAGGTGATACAAGATACCTTCCCTCTCAGAGTCCCTCGTTGAAAGCACAGAAACAATGCCACCAAAGTCGGAACCGTCGTCTCGCCACTTATCACTCTTCCACTTTCTCCTCGCCTATCGGAAGTTGCCCTCTCCGTTGCAGCGAGACAGGGGAGGGTTGCTACCAGGCTTGGAACACGCAGAGATGGCCCCTTCAATCCAAGTGATGCCGTTATAGCTTCCTTCACCACGGCTATCGGCGTACCAAGTACCAATCTCGGTGGCAGATCCAATGCAACCCTGGAACTGACGACCAGAACGGCGAGTGGTGAGAGGCTTGGTAATCATGACACCACAGTTACCGTCCTTGATTGTAGCCTTGGTGATGACTGAGGTCTGCGTGGTCCAGGTGCGGCTGTAGTCGATGCCGAGAGACCCAGCCAGCTTGTCCTTGACGAAGGTGAGATCGACTCCAGCACTGCCTCCAACGGTGTTGGAAACGCTGTAGCCTGAAGACACGCTGATGTCCATGTCCCCATTGGCGCAGACGACAGGCGACATTTGCACGTCCCAGTCGACAAAGGTCTCAGTCTTGTCGGTGGTGATGTAGAAGGTGCCACTGCAGTCGTCTCGCTTCCCAAAGTGGCCCTTTGGTGCTTTGGGGTACTTGGGCTTGAGCAGGTCAGTGCTGTTGTAGGAGGTCCAAGACGGGTCCAGCTTGGGAGCACCAATCTTGATGCCTTCAGCTTTGAGCTTGGAGAGATAGGTCTCCTCCTTAACGATGTAGGCTATCAGGTTCTCAGCATTTGTTCTTGAAACAGTCTCCGGAATGGCAACTTACAAACATCATTCACCGGAACAATGACATCTCCAGGCTGAATCTGATGGCTGGGAGTCCACCTGATGGCTCCTGGGAAGGGAGAATCTTCCAAGGGAACCGCACCAGTGGCGGAGATGAGCAAAGCATAGATGAGGTTGAAGTAATGCATCTTGTAAAGAATATCAGAATAAGTTTGATAGGAGAGAAGAGGGAGAATGTGATTGTGTGTGTTGGTGTGATTGACTTGCTCTTGGCTAAGTAGGAAACAGCCAAGTATTTATGTTCGAGCGAGATACGCAAACTTAACGATCAAATGTTTGGTCTTATTCCTGGAAGTATCAACTACCGACTTTCTCATTGTCCTACAGCACCAAGTCCAACGCCCCTCTAAGAAATCCTCGGTAAACGGATTAAGCGTGCTACGTCAACCCGCGCGTTTGACAGCTTCTGGGTATGATGTCAATCCTTATCTTAATAAACTTTAAAATTGGATACGTAAATAACGCACTTGCCCTTTCTGGCGTGAGATCTGTAGTTCCTAAGTGGAGAATCGTCTCATGTTCCCCCAGGGCTGACGATGATCAAGTCACGATTGCAGTTAGTTCATCGGTGGGGCGACCAAACTAATAGCCTCAGCCGCTCGTATAACGAAAGACGTTGGATTCTGCGACACTGGGTTCTTGAATCATGACATGAATCTATCGAATTCGTGAAACATCATAGGCGCGAAAATTATACCAACTCAACTGCCGATATACGGGTTCACCGACGATCGGTTCACGAATGTCCTGTTTGGGATCAACGAGCTGTCAACTTGTCGCATAGCCTTGTATCTTCAGCTCTTGCAGGAACTCTTCTCGGGCCGGCAAGAATTACATCGAATAAAGAATAGAGACAAGTTGCATAAAGATCTAAGTTTTTCCACCGTAGAAATTCAACTCGCCAGCTCGTCCTCCTCAAACTATCATTACTCCTTATATCCTATCCATCATGCAAATTTCTCTCTTCACAGTGGCCTTCATGGCCGTCAGCGGGTTCGTAATATCTGCACAGACCCTCGACATCTTCTTTCGAGCAAGCTAATGCCTTTAATAGTGCTTACGCTGCTACCCATAAGGCTGCTGCCTGTGTGTCCAACAGGATGTCGTCTCCCGTAGGCGGAACACCGTTCAGCCCAAGCTACAACTGGCAGACTACTTATGAAGTTCTCACCGATGCTACCAAGTGCGCTTGCGATTATTATAAGGCGCGAGATAAGGGTAGTGAGTGGTGGAACACATGCCCTGATTGTACTTTTGTAAGTCTGGGCTGCGCCAAGCTTAACTGCTTTTCTGGCTGATTATCACTAGGATGGAACTATATGCACCTCGGCTGACGGCCACATAGGCGGCGATGAGGTAAGATCGAGAAGAGCAACATAACTTGGAAAATACTCATTAGTTTATAGTTTACTTACTACTGCGAAGACTTGTGTGGCGCTCAAGGTGCTGAGGCTGATTAAAGGAGCAGAACATTTATCGTCCTGGAGGTATATTAGCAACGCAGTTTGATCAGAGACTTTACTCAGGACATCGATGTGTCCAAACTGCATCCAGAATCTATTACTACTACCGATAGTTTAATGTTCTCAATGGCGGTTTTCGAGAGTTATACAAGCTGTTCAAGAATAAGAATAGGACTTGCGAGGCTGGTCTAAGGCAAGCATCGTGGACAAAATACCAATGCAAGGGTTATTGAAGAGGAGAACATGAACAGCTAAATCGTTATATTAACCTTGAGTATTGCTATATCGACTTGCGGCAGAACCGAAACGGGGCTGTGCAATGGTTTCCTTGATATTCAATGAGTTCAAACTTTCGGAGGGGCGCTGCTGCTATGTTTCAATAGTGGGTGAAGTCTTGTTAGAAAGATCAACTCGATGTTATTGCATACTTCTGCTACTTGTCTATCTTTGGTAGTGTAATGTGTTGTTTTCGATTGAGGCCTTTAGCTGAGAGCTCAAATCACCAGAGAACTTGGTAAAACGAAAAGAATGTCAGTGCCCAGAAAAAGAAAAGGCCTCCTCATAGGCCCGCTAGGACCTGCAGCATTACAATTAACGCGTAGAAGCCGCGCATCATCAAGAGTTGGCGAGTCTAGGGGGAACTCTCTGTACAACTATGAGCCCATTGAAGACAGCAAAGAGTCACTACGCAACTCTACAATCCCCGATGCAACTGGCTCCAGCGAGGTCTATGGGGTCAGTCTCACCCCAACAAGTGGGCTACGTACTGCAAACGCAAAGCGGAAGACTGGTACGCACGTAACGGCACGTAACGGCACGTACACACTGGCTCAGTTGGACAGTGAAATAGCCCGACTTGAGAGCCTCTTGAGGTCTTACGAGCTGGCAAGCTCACTAGTTGATAAGGACAAGGATGGAAAGCCACAGTACCCAGTGGCGGGTGCTTACCTCTGTCGCAGAGCCTTGAGGACAGTAAAGCCAAAGTCGAAGCTGCTATGACAAGCTTGTACGAGAAACAAGCGGCCTTGGTTGGCGTTATCTATAATCTTCAGCAAGGCAAGCCGGGAGACCCATGGGAAAGCCCAAAAGGAAGTCCTTAACGCCCAACAAAAGCTTCAGGCTGCTCAAGACCAGAAGAAAACAAACCAGCAAGCTTGGAATGAGTACACTCAAATCGGCGCTCAACTGGTTCGACAGAAAAGAAACCACAATTAAGCAGGAGCTGGATAGGCTCAAGTCGCTACGCGTAGCCAAGGCTAGAGACGATACAAACAATGCCACAAGCGTACCGGTACTTGTGTCTGCAACAGCTCCGGCTGAGAACAATGGAGAGCTAGCAGGTACAACGCTGGCAGCTCGAGGTTCGGAGATGGCCAATCCGGTTTTCAAATCTCCTTCGGACCGGCCTCTGATTGCACAAGACGCAGACCCATGGACAAACATCACCTTTTCCTACTCTGCTTCAGATGTCAGTAATCATTCCAAAGAGTCAGAGTGGGGTATGAAGATTGGAGGTTCGGTTGGCTTTGGGCTTTGGGCTTTGGTCGGTCGGCGGGTCATATACCCATGACGAATCGCACAAATCCATGCAGTCGGACATGGCAGGCTGCGACGTGAGCATTTCTTTCTCCGCCCTCGTTATCAATATCAACCGCCCTTAACTTTTTGGTGAGCTCTTTAGTGGTGTCAACATCGAGGTTGCAAAGGGAGTCAACCTGAGCCCAGGCCCAATTCTACTCCAGAAGATGATCAAGGAGCAGAACGCCGCTGATATTGCGATATGTAGCCAATTTCCAGCCTACCCAACTTCCTTCATTGTAGCCGCCGATACGACTATCAAATTCACGGGCGCCACGAAGCACATAGAGGAACATTTTGATTCTTACAGTAACTCAGGAGGTGCTTCGGTTGGATATGGGCCTTGGTCGGTATCGAGTACCTTTCATAAGTCTGCTAGTGAGTAAAGCATGCAGGTTCATTCTATGTTCACTGACTGTAAGATTAGCTTTAGGGCACTACAGATTATTGGATGGGTGAGTCAGATTGTACCAGCTCTGCTACGTGATAAGCATTATAAGCCCCTTACCCAAGGTAATAGTGTTCTAGTACCTAAGTAGTATATTGCTTTGTCGTCTATCATTATCTTCTCAACTTAAGATTTGTTTCATCTTCGCTCCTGCGCCATCTAGCGTGGCTTGACGCTTCAGGCCTGAAATCAAATACATCAGATAGGTGTTATCGAGATGCCCATAGCTCCCAAAAACTTGTACCTTCGAGGGCTTGCTGGACCCCTCTACAGACTTGATAGAACACTGTGTAAACTCCGTAACAGAGGGGGTAACGGTCAATGTACGTTATGCAAGATTGGCCGTGTTGCCCGTTTCGGTATTAGTTGAGCCATCGTATGAGGCTTCTGTGTTTCGAAAGTCGGGCAGGATAGGAGACTCGTCGTGTTCTAACGAATTGAAGATGAGTCTGTGCGGTGTCACTAAAGAAGAAAGTATAAATAGCTATTTTTTTTTTTAATTTTCTTTTGCCCTTGCCGTCAGCCTTATGAGGCCATCGAGCTTTTAACTTTTCATATAAAGGCTTAAACAATAAGGCCCCTATAGTAGGCATTTATCTCAAAAGTCAGAATCTATAAATAGCTATACCATAGAAGATCTACTAGATCTATAGTTAAATCTGCCGGGCAGTTGGGATAGTGCTGCTTGATTCTAAGAACCCATCACTAAACGCCCAATCGCCATTACCTTTTTACTCCTCTTTGGCGCGTAAAAGGTTGGACGGTCATAATTGACAAGTGGAATGTTCGCCTTTATACGGAAGGGCAGATAAGGGTTGCTCGTCCAGTGGTGACCAAAGCGATAGCCAGCTTGTAGTCCTTGTAATTCTCGTCGACAGCCTTTTAGACTCGCCATTGAAACCACCAATAATCACAACGGGCGCTTGCTTGCCCCCAGGCGTTGACTGCGAAAGACACATTGTTATCTCCGCCGCAATTGGCATCGTCATTTCCTCGGATACGTGCCTCGATCAGGTCAAGGAATCCAATGTCCAGGGCGCGGAGATGCTGGATGATGTAAGTGAAGGTCGGGGAAAAGTCGTTCATTCCCATGCCTATGAAGTCGCTCCATGGGCTTAAGCGCATCGTCACCTTATCGGATCCGATCTCCTAGGCGATTGCCTTGACAACCTCAAGGGGGAACCTCGTGCGGCTTCCAATGCTGCCGCCTCAATGGTTTGTCCTCTTATTGGTAAGATCCTGGGGAAACTGATCAAGTAAATATCCACCACCGCCTTGACACCGTCGAACCCAGCCTCAATGGCGTTTCTCGTAGTGATGCGGTGGTCCTCGATGACTTCCCGTAACTCCTCTTCAGACATTATTTGAGAGAATGGGCGGCTATGGGGCTGGGGCTAAGAATATCTAGGCGCAGCTCATTACGGAGAGCAGGGTTCCTTGCACAGTCTATGACCCATAGCTGGCACCAGATTTGAAACGATGTGAAACCCATTTAGCATGTACAAGATCAGTGAATTTACTAGATCTACTATCTATAACCAAACTATTTTATCATAATTATAAAAAGGTAAAGCAATGTTATTAAATTTTAAAAAAACATCAATGGATAAATCGGTCTGGATTTTGGTGCTTCCTGTGACACCTGCATATTGAGCCTCATGTGTCATGTCATGTCATCTGACTGGAACACACCATATAGCACCAATGGCAATACAAAGCACAAGAAATATTCAGAAAGTTAAGGCCCTATTTCAAAAATCACACAATTAATTACTTAGAAAAGAGAAAAAGGACTTCACACAAATGTGCAACGTTGGCGAATATAATAAACAAGGCGCAGGCCACTGACCGACGTAACTTGTTCATTTTGTTCTTGATTTTCCAACACATTTCACTTTTGACACCAACGCGACTCTTATCAAAGCACGAAAAAGCTTAATAATCAATTTATTAAGCGTTTAAATAATGGAGATGAGTAATCTCAACTTCTCGATGTCGTCAGAATCAAAAGAAAATGCTGTTTTTTGTCAGTCATTTCATTACTTTTGCTGTACTCCAGAGCTTTTCACTTGCTAACGCGCGCATGTTAGTGACTCCAGAAAGCCCCATCCCTGAGGCCAGTCAGCACAGATGCATGACCCCTCATGATTCTCATTTGGCCTTGAGCTCTGAAGACTGGCGATTGGAGCTTCTACGGCATGGACAGGCGACGGTTAAACCACAGCAATTGATGCTGCCTGGAGAGATTCCGTATACCGGCGCGTCGCGTGAGAATGACTTCCAGGCCCCTCAAACCCCAACCGCTTCTTTGTCAGAATCACACTTGCTCCCCACCGTGCTCGCCCCGCACGCATCCGCAGCTCAGTCATTGACATCGCTTCTTGATGTTGGCCACGGTGGAGATGTTCTTATTAATCCTGGTTGGAACCCCAATGACCAGCCAGGCAGCCACGGACCCAATGCAAGGTCATCACCATGGTCGAAATCGTTTTTGGCCTGCCCTTACTACATAAGGGATCCTATCCGCCATTTCGGATGTATCAACTTGAAACTTGATACTTACGGGCGCGTCAAACAACACTTAAAGAGAAGTCATTTGACTTTCGATGCCAATAAGACGGAAGGCTTCGTATGCGAAGAATGCGGTATGGTCTCCCTAGACGAATCATCCAGGAACATTCATCGATTTTCTACTGAATGTGCGCCGGCGACCTTGGTGAATGAGCGTGGCGTATCAAGCCAAGCATGGGAAAAACTTGAAAAACGTCTAAAGAGCGGCTCAACGGATGAGGAGAAGTGGCTTAATATGTGGTTTGTTCTATTCCATCATCCTCTCTGTACGTCAACGCCGATAAAGGATACTGTCATGAACAGATTCTTCCAAATCATTCGCAACTTTTGCCAGGTTGATGGATTTGGAGCAATTCTCTCGTTACTTTCCCAGGAAATGTGCGGAGTTGAACATGGAAGCGCGATGCAGATGTATGAATTGCTCATGAAGCTGCTCGACTTCATTCGGAATTCTATCCAGCAGCTATTCAATGCAGAGGTTGCAGGCGCAAGTGGCTGAACTTTGTACTGGCACGTTGTATATACAACTACAGAGTATATATGACTGCATAGTGTATGCAATTGCATTTTAATTAATCGTTATAGAAATCGAATATGGCCTATAGATGCTGTTACTTACAGCCATTGGGTTAGGTGAAAGACATTTTCATAGCTTATTAATAGGCCGGAGTTACTTTTGAGGCAGCCTGTATTGACGCCGGATATATCCCTTAAAACCCGACGAGGTAGTATGGAGGCTCCCGCTTCTTCTAGCCAATTGCAGCGCCGACCCTCTGGTACTAACACCCGCCTGGCGATTAGTTGAGCAACAGTCACCCTCGGCACCGAATCGGCAGACCATCTCGTTAACACAGTAGTAAACAGGCCCTCTGAGTAGTTGTAAACTTTGCTACCTAGGAATTTGTATACAGTCAACGTCAATGTATAAATACCTTCTACTTGCCCAATTATTTTACTCTGCTTTCTAAGTCATTTAAACAGAACTTAATCAATACGTTACAAAGATGGCGAACCAAGAAGGGCCCAAGCCGACAAGACCAGATGCATCAACATTGAGTAGACCGGTAAAGTCAGACAGTTCACCACATGACCACGAGCCCAGCTCAGGAGATACAGACCTCTCACAGCCAAACCATCTCTTGGAAATTGGGCCCTCGATCGACAGTCCGGAGCCTCCATATACAGTTTTCTCCGACTGGGAAAAGGTCGGCATCATTATCTTGGTATCATTTTTAGCAATGATATCCCCCTTATCCAGTACAGTGTTTCTCCCAGCAATTCCTTCCATTGCCAAGGATATGGATGTATCTATCTCTCTTGTAAACCTAACAGTTACAACATATCTGGTAAGAAATCTTTTACAAAGTCCTCCGCTCTTTACGTCTTATGACAGATCTTTCAAGGAATTACACCCTCGTTCATCGGAAACTTTTCAGACACTTATGGGCGTAGACCAGCATACATGATTTGCTGTGCTATCTATCTCGCGGCCAACATCGGTCTCGCCTTGCAGAATAATTACACCGCCCTAATTATTCTGCGGTGCCTTCAGAGTTGTGGAAGCAGTGCAACTATAGCCCTCGGTAGTGCGACATCCGCCGATATGGTGACCCGAGCCGAGCGCGGGAAATATCTTGGCTACGCCGCTATGGGAGTCACCCTTGGCCCTGCCCTTGGACCTGTGATAGGTGGCCTTCTCGATCACTATCTTGGCTGGAGGTCTATCTTTTGGTTCCTCACGATCTTTTCCGCTGCCCTATTTCTCGTCATCTTCATCTTTCTCCCGGAGACTTGTCGAAACGTTGTTGGCAATGGAGGTATTAGTCCACCGTGGTGGAACATGTCGCTTATTGGATATCTCAAGCAGCGAAAGCAGGAACATGTCGAAACCGTGGACGAACAACCTAGTCGTAAACGACCGAATCCATTCGCTTCCCTAAAAATCCTCTTCGACAAAGAAACCGGCCTGATTCTCGGCTTCAGTGCTCTTATGTATGGCGGCTACTACATGGTGCTGTCAACGCTCTCGGCTCAATTGACTTCACGGTTCAATTACTCCTCTGTCGTGATCGGACTGTGCTATCTACCCATGGGAGTTGGAAGCATATGCTATCGATACACAGCTGGTTTCGTAATGGACTGGAACTTCCGACGATATGCCAAGAGACAAGGTATAGAAATTGTCAAAAACCGACAGCAAGACCTCAAACTCCTCCCTATTGAGAGAATGAGGATCGAGATATCCCTGCCATTTGTATACATGGCCTGCGCGATGATTATCATTTATGGTTGGGTTATGGATCAGAAACTGGCGCTTACAGGAATAGAGATTCCCTTGTTTTTCCTTGCGTTGTCTATTTCTGGTGCAATGAACAACTTGAACACCCTCATCGTCGATCTCAACACACATTCTGCAGCGACAGCCGTGGCAGCGAATAACCTCGCCAGGTGCTTGGTCGGAGCAGGGGCTGTGGCAGTTGCTGATCCCATGATAAACGAATGGGGCTTGGGGTGGACTTCCGTTTTTGTCTCAGGAGTGTGGGTAATCTTTAGCATTCTTCTTTGGGTAGTTATGTGGAAAGGCCATAATTGGAGGATGAAAAAACAGGAGAAACAGGATAATGATGGCTGCTAAAGATTGCAATTTTCTTGCCACTAGCTAGGCAAAATATAAATTCTACAATAGACTGCTTGCTTACATCACGCTTATAGTAGTATGCTATCTATCAATGCTCTGATACCCTTTGACATCGGCAATAATATACATCGTATCAACCCTATCTCATTCTTCCCCTCCCCTTCTCCTTGGAAACTTAGAAAAGGCCCAGATATCTCGAACTATAATATTAGAATCGGCTTTGGTAGTGATGTTCGCCACTTCCATTGGGGAAAAGGGCCTGAACTGCCTTGTTTTGACAAATTGGCTAGAAACAATTCAGTGCCGCGTGTAATTATGTAGAGCGCTGATTCCAATGATTATTTCATCTTTATATAAACTGTATATGCTCTTTCATTACTCGATAGTCCCCACTAGCCGTCAAAGGCTCCCTCACATATTCCAGCCAGAGATCATTGGCAGTGTGTTTTTTGACGACAACACTCAACACTCTCCGCTCTCTAGTAATTCCATATGGCCAGACGAGCCGCTCTCTAGGCCAGCCTTTAGCCAGTCCCTCAGAAAGTTCCTTCTGCTCCCTCGCAGCAGCAATCCCAGTCAGTTTCGTTGGAATGTCTGAGCAATGGCTCCCGAGATCCCACAGCACAGGCCACTGTTCTTTTTGATCTGTAAGAAAACCCTCAGCCCATTCGCTAGACTCTTCTCTCAAGAGAACTTCATACTTGTTAGGGTAATCTTGGATAGGTCTAGTGCCTTTTGGTATCTCAAGTCCCTCCTCCTCGATCTCGATGACTCTTTTCGCCATGGCAATGGTATGCTTTACGATCGTGAGACTCTCCACACGGTCCGCTTTTTCTCGCTCGTAGAGGAGCTCGAGTGCTCTCCTCCGAATAGCGGGTTGTCGACACTTGGCAGCTATCCAATAAACAGGACCAACAACCTCGCTTTCAAAAGTGAATGATGGGCCTTGCATGATCTCATTGTCGTACTTGACCGTGAAAGTTGCACAGTCAGCAGCAATGGAAAACTCGGATAAGCTGTTCCTATCGCAGACATAGTCTGACCCCGAGACCATTGAGTCTAGGAATACTAGCATGAGACAGTGCCTCTGTGTGAGAAGCTTTGCGGTTCTTGTATCTGGTCTATCGAGGTCACTGAACGCAAGGTACGCTTCAAATGCGTGACGCCAGTTGGCCAGCTCATGGGCGATGTTTTTGTATCTTGACTGCAATGCTTCTCCCTCAGTATCCGGAGTTTCACTGACACCGTTTGAGCGATACGACTTGACATCATAGATAAGAGTGAATCCGATATCGACGAGGTAATACAAGACACACCGTGCGTCAGCCAGAGAAGCGAACTTGAGCGGCGCCGTCGTCATTTGTAAAAGGTGCCTTGGGAAGTTAACCCTATCATTGCCGACATATGCGAGCCGTAAGTATATCGGGGCCAAGTATTGTCGAATGATGTCTGTTTCCGGTGTTTTGCGGTCCTTAATGTTTGCGAGGAGCCTCCGTCCTTGGAGGATGTGCATCTTGGCGGCGTTTTGGTGCTCATGGCCTAGCATGAACTCAATACAGACGAATAGTAAGCATACGAGTAGAGGCTTCACTCTTGATTCTGTCGCTAACGGCCATGACCGAACGGCGGAGATGGCTTTGTTGTATTCGACGATGGCGGGCCTGTAGTTTGGACAAGGGTCTCTTGTATCCTTCGTCTTTTCAGCGTACATCAGACTGATCGCTGAGATGGCATGCCGTATCGCAGGATCTGTGGGTGCAAGTCGTAACACCAGATTACCCCAGAAGTCGCTGTCTACCGTGTCCCCCACATGATGAGAAACATGCCCTCTGTAGTAGTCAAAAGCGTGAAAGCCCAGCTCTTCCCCAAGGTTGTTATTGAGGGCACGTGTAATAGGCGGACGCTCTCGAATGATCAGTGTCTGCTGGGCCACGGTGTCTGTATCGCCATAACCATCGCATTTACGACCAGTTCCAATGCATCGCTGACAGCCCGGCCTCGCCTCATCACATTTGATCTTACGGATTCTGCATGGATAGATCCAAATCAGCACGCGGTGTGTTATCAGAATGGATCTCGTTGATCTCACCTGCATGTCATGCATCCAGTGCGAGCCTTGGGAAGTCCCTTGCGATGTCGCGGATGAGAAGCGCGGAGCAAAACTCGTGGTCGCTCTCTCGACATTAAATTGGTGATGGAAGGATTTTTCTGCCCCCCGGCGCATTAGCGAACCAACGCCAACGAGGCGAATTGCTCATAGAAGCCATTTCGATGATCGCAGCAAGAGAATCATAGGCAGTCGATATATAGAAGAGCACAGAACTTACAGTATTGGACGTTAATGGCACTTTGTTGGGCTTCGGAAAACGTTAAGCGGTGCTGACTCTGGGAACATGCAGTCAGACGTGAATTAGTACCCTCGTCTGAAACGACCCCTGCCGAGTAATTTCGACTGTTTTCATTAGTTCTTACCAAATTATGCGGGTTGGCGGTTAATGATCGGGTAAGCACTTGGCGCTTTGGCTTCTCCTGTTGCTGATGTTGTATCAATGCAACTCTAAGGAAATTGATATTGGCTTGGTGCGTGACTGCGAGTCATGGAGGCAGCTAAAAAAGAGTGGTTGACGAGTCAGAAAAGAGATAAAAATAGATCAAAGGACTTTTTGGACTGGGGCAGTGGGTTAGCACCTCGCTTACGCTTCCGTAAATAGTTAGACATCTCGTTCCAGCTCGCTCTCTTAATTCAGCAGGCCTAGCGAGATATTTCCAAGTCGTGTTTGACTATTATCGAGTATATGCAGTATAAACATATGAGAATTAGAGAGGAAAAGAACTGATTGATTCTTTTAATGAAAAGGGTC